AGCACAAGCGCATCTTTCGTCGTGAAATCGCCTACACACCACTCCTTGGCAGCCAAGCTGCTGTTTAGGTGGCACATATACATCCCGCTGCGTCCCCTCTTTATCCTAACCGCTTCCTTCAAGTTGAGTCATTGTAGAACACTCTAACACTTTTTAGAAAGCGGAAAGCTTGTGAATGCTAACGGTGTTTTCATATTTGCATGAAATTGTCCATGAAGGAAGCTATGGTCGTTGAAAGAGTGCAACGCAACGAAGGAAGTTTACGCGGTGGTACTCGGACCAAAACCCCCCAACTAGGTCACTTTTGAGATGCCGGACGTATCAAACCATTCTGACAAACACTGAATAAAGGAAATATTCCGATTTACAGCGATGTATTAGCTCTTTTGATCAGATGCATCTGAAGGAAGTTATGGCTTTCAAATGTGTAAAACTTGCGCTTCTCAAGAATTTCCTCGTGATTTTTGCAAAAATTATCAAACTTGAGTATAATGTATGCTATACACCGAATGTATCAAGAATTTCAAAAACTGTTGAATAGAGAAAATCTTCTGTTTATGACGCCACTCAAAACTTTCGGGCAATAGCATTTGAGGGAACTTATGACTTTATGAAGTGTGATACTCGGACTTTTCGAGAATCTTCCTTGTTAGTTCTCAGGAAAGAGTATTTCCTTGTTATTCTCCTAAATGCAGTACTTACTACAAAGTACACGTCGAGTTCCTCCCAAAATTCTCTGTTTGAAGCTTGTCGACGTTGAAAGTAGTTAGGTCATTTTACGTGTTCAATTTTCAACGTGTTTCTTTAGAAAATAAACTGCTCAAACGTCAACACGATGGCGTTGATAAGCTTTCCACTCAACTAGGCCATCTCCACGGGACGGAGAAAAGTTGTTATAGGGGGGGAGAGAGTAATCTTCACCTCAGAGTTTTTCCTCGTCTTGACACGGTCGAGATGCACAAGCCAACCTGATCGGAATCGATTACCATCTGTCGTATAGCTCTTTGATTATTTACAGGCAAGCACTGAGTAAATATATAGAGGTTCTTCCTAACGACTGGGCCTATGCTCTGCATGAGGGAGGCGAGTGCGTGCCAGCTGTCGACAGTTTGACACTATTTCCACATGATGGCGCCCATAGCGGAAGTGCCAAATGGGCGCCAGTGCCATAGCAGAAGCAGTTGTGAAATTCATAATTGGAGAGTCATATTACTCCATGATCACACTCTTAGCCAATATAGAATTTTAATTTGACTACGGAAAAGATGGGTTCTATCAGACTGCTATCGACTGGTTTCTGAGTGTAGTTACCCTTTAGACCTGTTTCGCATCACTTTGTCATCAGTTCTCCTTTGCTCTGCAGATACCCACACAGCACACTTGCCGAACTGGCCGATGTCAGACTTTGCGATTGAGCGATTTTGCACCAATTTGCAGGAGCGACGGATCGCTTGAGCGATGCGAGCGACGGGAGATTTACACCGCGACCACCGATAATTCGGCGCCATCAGTTCGTAAATCTCCCGTCGCTCGCCCTGCAGCCTGACGTTGATATTACCGTCGCGCGCAGAGTCAACCCTGCGTTGCGCAGTTCGCAACGGCACGTTGAGAGATCCTCAACGCACGCTGTATGGGCGGAGACACAGACGGCTCGAGCATGCGAGTGTGAATGTTCGCGCGAGAGAACGTGTCTAATCGGGCGAAACTGCGCAACGTGGCCGTTGAAAACTGCGCAACGCAGGGTTGACTCTGCTTGTGTATCGGTATTCGGCGTGTTAATCTCCCGTCGCTCGCATCGCTCAAGCGATCCGTCGCTCCTGCAATTGGTGCAAAATCGCTCCAATCGCAAAGTCTGACATCGGCCACTCCAATGGAAATGATTTCCAAAAAGCGTCAACTGACCGTTTTGTTTTGACAGCAAGCTTTTTGGTGGCTAACCATGACTATCCTTTTATTCAATGCATCTTTATTCATGTAAGCGCTTTTGCGTGTTTGAGTAGAAACAAGTCGCCATGTTGCAATTTTTCCGAAATTTCACGATCCCGGTCACCATTTGGGAGCCACATCACGACTTCTTAGAATATCAACATTCTCGTGACATTAATCGATTTTTGAATGGGCTGAAGCGCAGAACGCGATGATGATAGAGCGCGCTTTCCGCTTGGTAGTTGCTCGCAGACTCATTAAGCAAATACAGTAGCGGTCAAAAGTTTGGAAACTTTTTAATTTTTCAAATAGCGCGGCCAATAAAAGACATAATTGTTCCAAATTCACATATTAGGTATAAAGTCAGGTGGAAAACACGTAATGCAATACAGGTTGTCGAAATTCCAAAAACTGTTCCTTAAAATAAGAAAAATGCAAAGAACGGCGCGTCAAAAGTTTGGAAACTTCTACCCATCATATCATTTTGGCTTCTTCTTGTCGAGGTTTGTGAATTTTTGGTAATATTTAGGTAAATCATCACATATTACGTAATTTCCAGATGGGATCAGGTAAAGAAGTTCCAGTAGCTGTTCAGGAAGCAATTGTTCGAGCCATCCAGTCCGGAACCAAGATGAGTGTCTTTCCCAGCAATATAATCTCGCCAAAAGCACAGTTTCGAAGGTTTTCAAGCGTTATCGAAGCCGGGGAATCGTGATGAGAAAGTCTCGCTCAGGAAGACCCCGAAAGACAACTTCAAGAGTCGATTCACTAATTCTTCGAACTTCGATGGCCGATCCACGCGCGACCGCTTCGGATATTCAAACAGATAACTTCTTTTTCGGGTATTGCTATTAGCCAAAGTACTGTCCAACGTCGGCTGAGAACCGGAGGACTCTTTGGAAGACGTCCCAGCAAGAAGCCGCTGGTCACCGCAAAAAACCGGAAGGCCCGAGTTGACTTTGTCCGCAAGCACCTCGCCTGGAATAGGGATGACTGGAAAAAAGTTTTGTTCAGCGACGAATCGAAGTTTTGCCTGTTTGGGAGTGACGGAGTGATGTTTATAAGACGTCCTGTGAACAAGAGGTATGATCCGAAGTACCAAGTTCCGACCGTCAAACATGGTGGAGGAAGTGTGATGCTATGGGGCTGTTTCAGTCTATCCGGCGTTGGTCCACTAGTTCGTATCCAAGGTAACATGGACTCTGCTAAATACAAGGACATCTTGGAGAATGTAATGGTCCCATTCGCTAATCAAAACTTGCCAACAGAGTGGATTTTCCAACACGATAACGACCCAAAGCACGCCTCGCGTCTCGTGGCCGACTTCTTTCACTCAAAGAAAATCAACGTTATGGAGTGGCCAAGCCAAATCCAGACCTTAATCCGATTGAGCATCTTTGGGAAGAACTAGTTCGTCGTACAAAGCCAATTTTCTGTTCAAGAATGCCACTGAAAATTCAATTTATTGTCCAAAGAGTGGGCCTTGATTCCACAGTCCAAAATTGAAGCTTTAATCGATTCAATGCCAAGAAGATGCAAAGCAGTGATCGATTCCCTCGGGTATCCAACTAAGTATTGATATTTCGTTTGTAATTGTATGTTATTATGAACAGTTTCCCTTGTTATTGTGAAGTTTCCAAACTTTTGACGCGCCCTTTCGCAATAATCGTGTTTTTTGGCTCAAATCATATAATTTCAAAAAACCACGTTGCATATCGTGTTCCGTATTTGCTTTTATACATACTGTGTGAAATTGAGACAATTACGTAGATTAGAGCCCGCGCTATGTCGAAAAATAAAAAGTTTCCAAACTTTGACGCTACTGTATACTTGCAACATTGCAGAACCAAGACACCAAAGAATTGAAGAGGAACGCTGCGCGAATCCAGGAAATGACAAACTTTTTCAAGAGCAGCCACAGTGCGATGTCTTTTGAGTTCGTTCCGTTTCCACGCTGCGCTACCCTGTAATGAGTTCGCACACTTCCTATTGGTACTTACATCCCAACTACGCTGAATAAGATCGTGACACAGTGTTGATTCGACAAATTGATTTAGTACCCGCCCAAGTTGTTCAGAGCATGGACGTTTCACCCTGAAGGGTATCGTGGCCTAGTATCTTTCCCTTGTCAAAAGAGTGACCCAAACTAATAAAGGGAACAAACCTAATCTGTTTGTTTGAAGTCAGTTTCGCGTCGATAAGTCCTTCCAATCGCCTCGCTGGTGCCATCATCTGAGATATAAAGACTAAGATGCTCTGACATGAGCGGTGAAAAAAGAGGAAAGAACTGAACTGGAAAAGTTTACCGGTATTTTGTGCACACAGTTCAGCAAGAAATACTTTTCATTGCCAACTTGAACGCGCTTTACATTTCCTGGGATACTCAGATATCACAGCGAAGAAAAATATCTGAACGAATTCTTCACAGGAACTGCATACTCACAAGAATATGATCACGTTTTCTTCACAGAAAAATATCAAAAACAGAACTATCACCTGGAGCAAATTACAGACAATGCGCTGATCCCATGGCTCCACTGGAGGCTGCCGTTGTGGAACTGAGCATATTTTTGTAGCAATGTGCGAGAAATGAGGTGGTCGGATGTCGTCGTATTCCCTACCACAGCGCGGCTCACACACAACATTTATCCACTGTCCTAATTCGAGAAACCTCATCCCACCAGTAATACATAGGGAATTTCTGAAAAATCGCATCTACTTTAACTCATATGAAGCGCTAATGGCCGAGGTACAATAGTGACAGCTTTTTTCTTCGTATTCGCAACATCATTTACTTTTTCGGAAAAAGCAATACACCTCAACAGCGCAGAACATGTGTAGAAGAAAATGCGAAATGATATTTCGCGCAAAGATAATGCTTTTGCAAGACAAGGAACTTGTGTTAATTTCGATTGAAGAATTTTGGAAATTAGGGTTTGATTTCTACCCATGTGGTTTCTACCCATGCAAGAATTGATTTGAAATGGCAATTTTCTCCAAACACTTCAGAAAACCCAGCGATGTACATTACCATACATTGCCCTGCACAATGAAATAATTTCAAACCAATCGCATCACCTGATAAGATCACTTGCAATCAGAATTTTGTGAACTCCTGGTATCGGAGCAAAACATATAATATGATCTTCCCTGATTTTCACAATACAGCACCACGCAGGTAGAGCTCTCTGGAAGTATTACTCATGTATTAAATTTGAATAAAGAAAACTATGACTGCTTACCTAGGGAGGAGTAAAAATCACTCGCACTCATTCCAAAACGATGTCAATTTTAAAGAAATTGCATGTAATAACTTACCGCTCCAATCGGTTTTTCGCTCGAGACATCAACCATCGCTTCATAGCTGGGTGGCAATTTAGGAGGAATCCACTTTGGCACCTCGCTACTGTCTTGCTTATGGAGGCTTCCACTTCCAGGGGTAGCCGTTTGGTTGTTGACAGCCATTTCTCGCAACTCGATGCAACATCCCGAAGGATCAGATGACGGCCTCTTCAATTGGCAACGACAAAATAAGTTTTATGAATGAAATTATCAGGAACTGAGCCAAGCCGTGACAGCGTTTTTTGTAACGTTTTTTTTTCTGTGAAAACAATATTTTTCATTAGTGCACATCCAACACTATCTGGTCTACAGTTTCCTAAATGTTCCTTTTATATGAATTATATTTCAGTCAAACTTCACGCTTATATAATGGATTCCACAACGACAAAAATAGGCGTTTCAGACATCCACATTTCTCATTTTCAATCGATCTCTCGTTTCCACAAAGCTACTCATGGTACTAAGGGTTTATAATTCATTAACGGTATCATAGTTTTGGGATCGATTTTCGGGTGCCGTCATGAAGAACCAAAGGCCGTATCCTACCCCTCCCCAGGCAGGAGGAGCAGGAGGGGATCCCTTCAACTTCCCTACCTTTACCAACCAGGATAGGCCCTAGAAAGAAGCTTAATTGAAAGTATGTGTGTAAAAGTAAGCATGTACTGAGAAAGAGGAAACAGTGCCGTTCACAACAGAAAAATGTGAGAAGATCTTCCTTACCCCTAGCCTCGGGAATTGTTAGGTACGGCCTCAGGGCAACGCTAAGGAGGAATGTAAGAGGCAATTAAAGCAGTGGTCACGACTTATCAAATAAACCAGTAAAACCCACAAAAAGCAGTGGTCACGACTTATCAAATAAACCAGTAAAACCCACCACAGATTCGAAGTTTTCAGAACGATTTTTTTCACGCGGCGGTGTTCTTCTGAAAAGGAGATGCGTCTTTACTTGAAGGTTATGTAGGCTGCATCTGGAGTTCTCAGACTTTTATCTTTTGCGAGCATTACAATTCTGAACCTATTTGTTCGCACTACAAAAAAAAAGGCTATGCTCTTTCACCTTCAAGCAGCCACCCTTACACTAATATAGCCTTCCTTTACATCAGCAAGATATTCTTAGATTGTTAGAATTCCATTCCGCTTTAAGTACCACTTCGCTCTTTTTACGCTTCCCTCGTACCATATACGTAATAACACAACAGGACAAAATAGTGAACCTCAAATCATTTGAAGACAGCGAAAGTTTTCCAATGTCCTCTGCTGCCAAATCTTCTTCTGTAGGACGTCCTCTATCGAATTTTCTTGTCACAGGCCGTCTCCCCTCAACGACTCGGCATTGTGTTGCCTGGAACAGTTTCAAAGAAGTAGGTGATGATGGGGCGGCCCTTCGAATGGTTTGACCCGATCTTGAAATCCAAATTTTCTCTCTGCAAGGATCCCATGACTAATCTGTCCCATGTCTTGGGAAGGCATTTCGCCGCTGTGAGATTTTCTTTCTTATATTGTCCTGTAGTCTGTAGTCTAACCACGCACAAGCATCTCTCGGTGAGTCTGAGGACCAGTGCGCATTCTCACCATGATGGAGTTCGTCTACATAAAATACGTCCTCTGTTTTGTTGAACCCGTTCCTTGTATATTGTGTGCCAAGCTGGAAAGTTTATGTTGTGTAGATAGAGTAACTAAAAAACATCTAGGTTGAGGAAAATAACATTTGATAAATCAATGCCTTCGCCATTCGCCCAGTAGCCTCCGCAACCACCATGAGCCATTCACAAATTCCACCTAAAAATGATAGAATGGCGAATCTGAGTCCAGCACAGATGCAAACAAAAAAGATTTCAAGGCACTATTCAACTATTACAACCCAAAATCTCAAAATTTTATTTTTTGTCGGAACTTTGCACATGGGTAATTCGGTGCCCTGATTACGAAAGTAACATTCATTTCCAGCGGTGGGTATCGTCTCGTGTCACGACAGTTGTTTTCACCAAACTCGATGTAAACTTCTGGGTAGGGGTAATTTGGTGTCCAGATTACGAATATGACATTCATTCTTGGCGCTAGCTCCATTTAGCGCTTTAATCTTCGTCTGCGCCCTCCTAGTGACTAGATCGCGATCAGGACTAAGCTTTAGGAGAGAAGGGGCTACGAGTGAGTAAACTACCCACCCTGTGATCTCATACGCTCATTTTTGTCACACGGTGCCTGATTTACCCACCGGGTCTCCCAATCCTCTAAGCCTAGCCTCAAGGCGCTTTGCATAGGTGGGAGAGCCCAGAAAAGCGGGAAATTTGTAGCAAACAGCGCTGTTGTCAAAAACGAGTGTCATATGCGTGATAAGACATCAAGTAAACCCTATACCTAACATCAACTTTACACCGAATTTGGTGAAAACATGTGTCGTGACAAGGTGGCGCCAACTGGCGCCAGATGGCGCCACCGCCAAAAATGAATGTCATTTTCGTAATCAGGGCACCGAATTACCCCTATAGAGGAAGTTTCGACGAAAAATAAAATTTTGAGATTTGGGGTTGTAATGACAGTGCCCAAAAATCTATGCGCATAAACACTTCAGCGCAAGAGTTGTGTTAGCACGCAAGTTGACCGACAGCGACAATCGACCCATCCGTGCCATTGTTAATATTTTCCTTCGCCTCGCTCCCGAAGTTATGTCCTTTGCGACAGCGGCAAAGCACGCTGTACGTCAAAAACCGCTAACACACTAAAACTTCAATAAAATCATACTTTATTCAGCAGGACTGCCGATATGTTGCTCTAAGCCTTAATCTATGGGCCGCCTTCATACGCAGTTGACTTGCGCGTCAGAGTCCGTGATCAGTCGCGATTTCGCGGTTTCGCGCGATTCGCGCGGATCGCAAAAATTGCAAGTGCCCCATTTGAACATTTGAAACTCTGAATATGAAACAAGCAGAATCATGAAAGTCGTCGCGAAAGGCGCGAAACCTGCGACGGATCGCGGACTCCGACACCAGCCTACTGTCACAAGAATCTGAGGAAATTAATGGCTGCACCTCAACCACAGCTCCTCTATCGAAGCGATAGTGTAGAGATTCCGGTGTAACCTCGTCCTGATCAACCATTATACAACCGATATCTTCGGAGATCAGGCTTAATTCACCTGTACGAGAAAATTCGATTGAAGCGCGGAGAGTAAGCTAAAAAGTACAATTGCGTTCATATGAATACTCAATAGTACCTCAGTGCTTTGGAAGCAGAAAGCGAAAAACCCAAAAAAGGCAGAACAGGGGTGAACTCACAATGACGGCGTAATCTGTTAGACAGCCAGGTCGACCAGATCTTCTTACTAGCCGTGCGTGTATATATTGAGGAGCGGCAATGTTTTTGATCAAACGCAGATGGTGGCTACTCAAGCACAGCCCGGAGTCCCCTCCCGTATATTGCAGTCTGAAAATTCCTTTTGAAATTACCTGGAGTTTTTTTTTCGTAATTTACCATGAAAAATCATATAGATAAGAGATGACGAAGGAAAAGCTTGAGACTCGCCTCATCCAGACACCCATGGGCAACTCCAAGCCACCGTCGCATTGAAAAGCTTCTTTGTGGGTCTTAGAAAAAATAATGTAAAATTGAGTCTTATTCCCATTCATCTTTCGAAAAACAGCAATGGCATCCATGTTTACAATGGTCTGTAAAGAAAAAGAGAAACCGTACGACAGGACAACTGTAGTCACACGTCATACCTCGACAACTGATCGAAGTCCCATTCTTTTCGTTTTCCCATGAGTGTCGCGACTGAAAATTATGAATTCAGAAATTGTGGTCAGCGCGACTGTATGAACTCTCAACACAGTGAACAAACAGTTCAATAAGAATATAGCAAGAAAATATGTAACGCCAATTACGAAAATCTCAATGAATAAGATTCACTGCACAGAAGAGAATATAATCAAAACACAGTACTAACACAGTTGAAAGGGGTGGTGGGCAATCAGCGCCACGTCGCGCAGGTGTCTGCGCGTCAAAATGAGGAATCAAGCTAGAGAGAATGCGGACAGCAATTTTCTCGCTACGAAAACGCCAGTCCATCCATGGTCGGCAGTCCAAAGTTGACACGCGCATTTCGCGCTGCAAAAAGCAGAAGTTCATTCCCTGTCCTGGTCACCCACTCGAGGATGCAGGCACTGCAGAGGGTAAGGTATGAGAAGAGCTCTTTAGCATGCGTGAAAAACTGGAGTGTTCAATGTGCAAGTTGACTATGTCGCTGAGAGGGCGCAGAGATAGTGCCCAAGACTTAGTCCTAAGGCGCTTTCATAGTCGGCCGTGCGATTCTAAAAATCGTGACGATCGCACGGCATCTGCATCGATTGTCGGAACCGCCCAACGACCGACTATGAAAACGCCCCTAAGGTAAGGGCTTTCAACGCGCCGCCTTGCGAACCCTTCAAATGCAGTAGCACCGCCGTTTCTTTCGAGACCAGAAGGACAAAACGTTCACGTAAAGTTAGATAGTATGTATCACTCGTAAGATTGAAGTCGTAGTATCGCAGCCTCCGAAACCATGAACGCTCACAAAACTGTCGCAGTTCTAAGAGAAACAAGCGCCCACGTAAGCTTTTCTTAACCTATTATTCGAAGCGAACACGAGCGCATCAGGGAAGTATATCGAAAAACGAAGCAGTTACTTGGCTGCCAAGGAAGCGAGGTGTGGCGCTTTCACGACGAAAGGCGCTGGTTGCTGAGCAGGACTTCGAAAGCACTCCGCCCCAAAAGCGATCCGCCCACTAGTTTAGTTGGTGATTTGGACGAGCTGCGTTGCCAGCAGCGGCACAACTGGAGCAACTCGACTGGAGCATGGATTGGCATGGTGCCACCAATGTGAGTTGCGGTCAACTTCCCCATACGTCCGCCGTTTTAGGCCGATGTCAGACTTTGCGAATCGAGCGATTCGCTGCTAGCGATTCGCTACCGCCCGCGGTCCAGCTAGTAGAGCATTCGTTGGCCGCGACGCGACCGCGAACACTAGCGAATCCCTCGATTCGCAAAGCCTGTCATCGGCTTTATCGCTGCCCTTCCTTGAGCGAAGACCAACGGTCAAACAACGGGGCTTCTTTTCGCGTTTCTTGACGAGTTTTTCTGCTTCTTCCACCACTGGCGCTCCATTAAGCACTGTCCACGTCCCCTGTAAACCTCTCTAGAACCTACATTAATCGCTGCGTAGCAGAGAGTCCCCAGACAACCTCAAATGCTTGCAATCTTTCTATCGACGTAAGCGTTTGAACTTAATTTAAGAGGTATGCGCGGCTTCGTTTAATGGCCGATTATTGGGCGAATCGCTTTCTATAGAGCCTGAAAGAATCTAAAGTACCCTGAAGAAATGCCTGCACTACCCCGCCGAACTTCGAGGTCGGCAGCGCATCAGATAACCGTAAGATGAGTCATCTATCGTAACTCAATGTGGTCAGCAGCATTGATCAAGATCGTGTCATAGTTAATCCAATCTTTCAACTCTGAACAAGACCACCCGCCAAAACGTTAGCCACTTAAGCTTACATAAGAAGCTCATACCTTTTGGCAAAGATTTTTGCTGTAAACCTATATTGGGGGAGGCAGGGCTGCATCATGAGACCCATACCTCCGCGTTTCTACTTTCCAGACGGTTCGTCCAGACAGAGCAACGCGACCTCGCCGAGGATAGTGTGTTCCAGCGGCAGAGGTCAATACAGCACCAATCTGTCAATGCTGAGTTTATAGCGAAACCGTGTCTCTTCCTCCTAAGCTGAGGGAAGATAGCATCGAGGGTAGGAGACGCGTGCTCACAAAACAGCAAATCCAAGCTGTAGAAGACACAACTACGTTGTACCATACTGCTCACACATGACAACGATGCGGCTCGCGCAGCACACATGCGTGCCACTGAAAGGAGGAAGACCTTCAAAAGGTGCTTAACGTACATTTGAAAGGATCGCTTGGTGCTAGACGGGGTTGGGGGACCACGCGGCGGCGCGGCGCTCTGTTCGTCTGCTCCTCCAAGGCTTAGTCCAAGGGGGCAGTTACTATTTCGTCGCCACGTGGCAGTTTTGAAATACGCGCCATCGGGGGACTAAGCTTAGCCATCGCGGCAGGGCCATTGAGGAAAAATCAAATAGTCCGTAAACCGGAGACGCATCCCCTCGTACGAGGGTACGAGGGGCTTGCTGCACCCGGCCCCAGAGTGCCGCGCCGCCGTGTGGTCCCCCCACACACTTAGCACCGATCGCTCCATAAAACCTAAGCAAAGACATATAGCGCCTCGATTTATCGACACAGAAATGTTGAATGGTATGCTTTTGGTGATTGTTGTATGGGCAAGTCAAGGCTTCACATGAGACTCATAAAACTTCCTGCTGCTCATTCAGTGGACAGAAAACGAAGTTTCCGCTTTTCGCACGCGAAACTTTTTCGCGGCAAGAACCCCAGGTCCACCCATGATCAGCGGTGGACCTGAGTTTCTC